CCCAGTACCCTACAGATATTTCACAGAACGTTCGGTACTCGCCCAGTACCCTACAGAGATTTCACAAACAGCTCTGTAACTCTCCCAGTACCCTACAGAAGTATCAGTACCCTACAGAACGGACCTGTGCAATATTCCAATTTGGTCTTGCCTACTATGTGGACGGGAACTATGTACACGGCCCTAGGTTGGCTAGAGGGCGCTGCATTGCCTCAGTAACCTGGCTTCGCCATCAAAGGAGGAGGGAGCAGGTGGCGACGAGCTGAACTGGGCTGGTTGACCCCTTCGGCGCGAGAATTTTTATTTTTCAGACCAAGAACCTTGAGTGCAAGGAGGGAGAAAGCGAGGAACCGACTGGGAAGGACAGCAACGAGAGCGTGTACGGACGGAGCAGGTCGAGTGGCGTTATGCTCGGGCTGACTACAGCGGCGCCGGACGGAGCAGCGGCACCGGAGCATGCGGGCGACATCGACCCGTGGCGCACGGACAAACATTTATATCTGATCTGTGTTGTCAATTTTTCTCGTTTTTTTCCTGATTTTCGGTGTTGGTTCTATGTGATGACGTCGTCACTGGTTTTGTAGAGAGACCCGTCAGAGATGGCGTGGCTAACCCGGGTGCATTGGTTATGTGCCTGATCGTGGAAGACCCCTTCAATGTGGAACGATTCTTAGCTATTGTCGATATTTTCACTGCGTGCCTAACACAGACGATCGGGAGAGGTTCGGGTGATTGTCCATTGCAATCATGGCTTTGGTTGGTTGTTCTTTTTCACTGTACGTCCGCAGACACATTCTGACAGCACTTCAGACAGCAGCTTTGTGCCCCGCCAGCTTCTTGTTCCATGCCTACCATGGTGTTTTTGTACAGACAGCACTTCAGACAGCAAGTATGCTGTAGTCGGCAATCATTCGTTTTGGTACAGAGTGGGACAGGTAGGGGGTGATGTTACTGTAGTCGAACGGTGAGACGGACGTGTAGTTCAGTTTTGGGCACGCGTACGGTGCTGCAGGGATTATATATAGGTGTAGTAGTACCTCTTCGGGCTCTTGTACACCTTTTTCTTGCTACGTGTGCGTGTTCTTTAGATCCTCAGATGGCTCCAGCACTTTCGTGACCACGGGCCGAGAGTCTTTGCTAGATTTTGGCATTTAGCAACTGGCATACGGTTTAATGTGAAGTCAACAACAACAACAACAACAACAACAACTATGTTCCACCGTAATAGACCACCGGGGCGACCGGAGTGTATGTAGTGTTGATGGCTGTTGTCGCCTTCACATTTGAAAACCGTTGTGGAATTTTCCGACTTACGTGCGGGTCCAACTGCCGCGGACGAATTCGGCGATTATTCTAGACCAACGGCCCGAGAGGGTCCGCATAACGAAAACCCCAAGCGAAAACTTAAGACGCACACTATGCAACCACCACGTTCTTCATAACAAATAGACCTTCCGCGGACTGGAAAAACTACGTTTTGGGATTTGCGGCAGAGGACGCGACCCATCAATGTCCCGCAGTGTTCCAGGAACTTGTCAACGGTTGTCCTGGTCGCCTGCTCCCCGCAACCCACCTCCGTCTCCTAGCATCTGGTCGAAACATTGCGGGGGTGGTTTTGAGGCGATAACCCATCACAGAGGGCTCCCAACAAGTGGAAAGGCAATTGCGACACGTATTGTCCTGCTGTGCGCTCCTCGAACCATGTGGCCTATTTTTCTTGCCACACCTTAGCGGGGAAGTTCTGGAAGACCTGGATGGAGACAATCCTGGAGATGCGGTTTTCCTGGGCTCCACGGAGAGAGTATTGCGGGCTGTGGCCGATGATGCCTATACGAGGCCCATTATTTTCCAAAATCGTGAGGGACGAAGAGGTGGGCCTCGGACAGAGTCTACGTATGCTTGGACAGAGTACGTGTGCAACGACCTTGACACTCCACGGATACATTCAATGGTCCCGGCATGTTTCACAAGCTGGAGTATCGACTTTGGTGCTTCAAAAAAGCACGCTGTCCTCAGTCATGTGGTGGAACATTAGAATTGCGCTGGAACCATATAGCAGCTGCTCACACAACCAATGCACTCCATCAAGGAGGAAAATCCCACATGGAACACCGTCAACAACGCTAAAACAACCGCATCAATCCTTGTAACGCCTCGAAAAGGACTTTGGTATGGATGTGATTATCATGTTGGCAACCGACCGATCATGCTCTCGGTCGGCATGCGACACCCAGCGAAGAAGGAAAACATCAGCAGGAGTCACAGGTCATTGCCTGGATCAATCCTTGTACCCCTACTAAACAGTTACAGCAAGACTGAAACACGAAATGTATTCCAACGATTCCGCAATACTTCAACATGTCTCTGTTACCAATGCTTGTCGGCTTTGGGAAGGTTTACGCATATGCAGCAGATTCCGACTCCGATGTCACGCCCAATGAAAATACGTTGCCTCTCCGTGTGCACTCTAGGTGTTGTCCTGAAAACCGAGCAGCAGGTGCTTACACAATCTGCACACCCTGCCTACCAGCCACCGCGAACCAAAAAAAGCCGCAAACATCGAACAACTTGCCGAGTAGTCTCGTCGTCAACGACCGATGTGAGTAGGGGACCCTCGTGTGACACTGATTTTTGGCGCGAACTCCAATTCTTCGGCTTGAAACGGGATGTATACTGCTCCCTACACCGTGAACACAACCTCCCTTCAGACTTGACTCGCTCGAACACACCGACTAGAGCTGCGTAACTGTGTGACTGAGGAAAAACAACCTCCTCTCAGCACAACTCAAAGTCTACATGGCATACCTACCATGTTGGGGATTCGTTGCAAAGACGCGAGACCTCTACAGTTGAAGGAATTATGACCCCATCTAACCTCGAGTCCCTAAACACGGCAAGCTGACGAAGGCCCGTAGGCCATTCGATCCCGCGCAGAAGGCTATCTTCGTCACCTGAACCATTACTATGATCAAGAAAATGAAATATCTCAAGGTTGGGTATCCATGTCCCCAGTCCTTGAAGCGACTGCCTGAACTTGTGCCCTAGCGTAAGTCGCCGCATCGATGCAGGCCACGCGCACATGTCGACACGCTGGTTAAACTCCGAGAACATTATGGCGTGGTCAAAACCTTGACTTTCGTGCTTTCCAAAACAAACTTCTTCCAAGGATGCCGGCCACCGTACGTTATCAATTGGCTGGTTGAATAAAAATCCAAAGGCGAGCCTCTGAAGTGAATCTGGCCACGTAACGCCCTCAATGGGCTGGTTGAAATCCGTATCAAAAGCAAGCTCCTCCAGCGACGCCGGAAAGGTAACCGATTCAATCGGCTGGTCAAAGGCTTCGCCAAACGTGAGCTGCCGCAAGGATGCCGGCCACTCCACGTCCTTTATCGGTTGGTCAAAACGCGAACGATACCCGAAGGTGAGCTCCTTCAGTGATGACGGCCACACAACTTCCTCGATCGGCTGGTTGAAATGTTTTCCGAAAAAAACTTGTTCAAGCGACGGGGGCCACCTGATATCATCTACAGGGTGGTTAAAGTCATCCCCAAACATGAAAAACTGCAGCGATTTCGGCAGAATGGCGTCTTCAATCGGTTGGTCGAAAGCGTCGCTCAACCTGAGCTCCAGCAGCGATGGCGGAAACTCGACACCTTCTATGGGTTGGTTGAACAGTGAACCCCAGGAAAAATCGATTTCTTTCAGCCGTTGCGGCCATGCCACAGACTCAAGGCTGCCTTCAAAGGCAGGTCCGAAGTCCAGGCGGACGACGTCCTTCAATGCAAATATCGGGGATTTCAATTCAGTTGCTGTCGGCATGTTCCATATCACGCGGCGCGCCCGAAGCCGTGGGACCCGTGTCCGGCATGGCCGTTTCGAGTGCGGGGATGGGGCGTCCACAGCCGCCAGCAGGGTACGTGGGGTTTGCACGTCCACTCTCAACCGCAAGGTCTGATACTTTCGGCACGCGATGCAGAACTCCAGGGACGCCTGCTGCAGTTCCTTGGTAGACGTGTACCAACGCTTCCCGTCGCACATCTCGTTCAAAGCAAGGATGAGGGCTCTCGGGCCCGAGCTACCACAGGGTCCTGCGGGAAGTATTGCAATGCATCGGGGCATACCCAAGCTTGGTCATACAGGAAGAGTTCCAAAAGGCTTCACTCGTCGAGGGAGAAAACCGCAATTGTTACAAGGCCATGACCCACTCTACACATCCACATGAAAATCTACCTCGGTCAATCAAGGCGTCAGTTTTGTGATCAATGCCGTTCGACGGGGAAGAATATCAACAGACGACCAACCGCACTTTCATAGGTTCAACGGGGGCAAACAAAGTGCGCGCGCGATCCGTGAAAACGAAAAGACGTGAAGCGTTGGATTCAATCAGCCCCTTGGGATTGCGACTGAAAAGGTTCTGGCGGGGTGCCATAGCCCCAACTACCTGAAAAGACGGACTTAATACGATTGTGGTGAGACACTGCGAGAAGGTATCTTAACGCGTCTGGAACAAAATATCGAGATGGCCTCAACGAGCCCACAGGGGCTAGCTGCATCATCCAAGCGACCTACACCGAGGAGTTGATCCGCCTCGACTTCGACAGTTGCCGTGCGTACTTGTAAATCAACAGCAACAAAAAGTTCCAGCAAGTGGTCAAGAGGCACTGCGAGGTTTTCCTATAAGGCACAATTTGACAACACACGACATGACGGAGGGGTTCTCCCCGATGATTTCGTCGTTGACCTCATGTATAGAAGGAAATTGGGGGATTTGTGATTTTCGTACCTTTGGTGTTTTTCAGATTAGCACCTGCTGGCATCACAGACAAAAAGCCAGCGTGTGTTTTCGTCCTACTTATTCGAGCGAAGAGAGATTTCTAATCTGGCCCGAGGTCTCGCCGCAATAGAGAGCCCCATCAAGACCAAACAGGTTTTCACGTCCATTTAGGTTTTGGAGCGCATGCGCATTACTTGAATTCAAAGGGGGTAAGTCAGCGCAGCAGAATATTTCTTTTTTGGAGCTCACTGTCGGCGGATTGCAGCAGAGAACACACGCACTGCGGGCGACACTACACAGCAGACAACACACGCACATCACACAGCGCACGGGTAACAGGCGACACACACGCACAGCGGGCGACAGCATCTGGGCTCGATGCCGTTGAACTCTTTGTGATATGATGAGGCTATGTATTGATGCTGTCGCGAGTGTTTTTCTATTACCGCCGCGTTCAACTGCCAGCAAATGTGACAGCACGACATTTGTTCTCGAAACCTAGCACGAAGATCGCCATCGCACCATGTCGAGCGTGTGATCCATTGTGATCTCTTTGGCCGTGATAGTTGTGTTGGGCATGGTGCTGTATGTGGCGAGAGGATCGTCGCGAGTTGTGAAATCCGGTGGCTTTTTCGCCTGGCGATGCGGCCCGATTGCCCGGGCCAAAAAAAGGCAACTTGGATTCCAGGCCGCCACAAAGGTCTTCCCACACACAGCATCCATGCCGAACACAACTGTCACGCCCAGAGATATCGCAATGGAGCACACGCTCGAAGTGATACCATGACGATTGGTGCGCTAGGCAACGAGAACTGACTTGTGTCCTGCTGTTTCGCTGGCAGTTGGAAAAATATTCAGTAAGAAAATGAGACGGGGTAAAGCAATATGCGGGGGTATGTATGACCACGAAAGCAGGATGTGGACCGGGGGAGGGGGGAGCAACCGGCAGGAGAGAGGTAACGTTACCACCGTACCCGCAGCTCTCACACCAGCGCAGAGCAGGGGTAGTATCAAGTGTATGGTGTTTGCACTATGTTTCCGCCCGTGGACGCACACGTCTGACGACAGTAACATCTACCAGCTGCCGCTCTTTATAGCGACGGCTATTTAGTCTCCCCATTTTTCGTGGTGAGACATGTACACTTTTCAGTGTCAGAATACGTAGAGTACAGTAGGTGGCCCAGTACAATGCCGGTTATTGACGTCCGATTTCACCGGGATCATACCGTAGGTTGCGTAAGATATCACACCCCCTGGACCGAATTTCGAAGCTCGACATCTCGGTCGGAGAAGCAATGATGGTGCCGAAAATGGCGGCATTGAAACCGCCTCGTCGATAGCTTTCCCAAAACATGCCCTTTGATTTCAGCATTCTCTTCGTCGTAGAGTAATCGAGCTTTGAAAACCGGTCGTGGGGGTGTGATATCTTATGCAACCCACGGTATAGGGATACCGGCATCATAGCAGGGGTAGTATGAAGTGTGTGGTGTTTGCACTCTGTTTCCGCCCGTGGACGCACACGTCTGACGACAGTAACATCTACCAGCTGCCGCTCTTCATAGCGACGGCTATTTAGTCTCCCCATTTTTCGTGGTGAGACATGTACTACACTTTTCAGTGTCAGAATACGTATAGTACAGCAGGTGGCCCAGTACAATGCCGGTTATTGACATCCGATTTCACCGGGATCATATAGGGATACCGGCATCATATAATCGGCCTCTATATTGTCGGTTCAGGCATTACTGAGGGTCTGATACTTCCGCGATGATGCCGGTACCGGCACTATATAGGAAACCGTTGAGTTATTCCATATAAAACGTGAAGCACACACCACAAGCACCAGGTGATGGGGGAAAATGACAGTGGATATTGTGGTCGGAGGTTTGGAAGCATTCCGCGATCGAACAGATTTCAGAGGCGCGTTCATCGGAGGGCCGTAAGTTAGCTCATCCCTCCACTCCATGCATCTTTGGTTCTACCGCCCGACCTTTTTTTTTCGCTGAGCAGTGTCTGTGCACGTACTCGTCCTTGACGTATCATATTAATCTTTGGTGCCTCCCCGTCACTCGCAATAAGACACAATAAAAATATCGTACGCAAATATTGATGAAGACAGCAAAGCAACCGAAATAAAACATCTCAACACACACATGTACGCACGTGCCGCATAACCGGCGAATACTCGCTCGCACACAACAAGGAAGCAAAAAAAAAAGGGAAAATCCAAAAGAAAACTGGTCAGGCTGCTGGTGTTCAGCTGAAAACGGCAACTGTACACCCCACACATCTTACAACAGGTTCCACCGAACAAACAACAAAACTACTGATGCTAAATCAACTCCAAACCTAGCATCAAATCTTGTCGAAGTAGTCTCTCATGATGCGGTAGGGGTACAGCTGGTAGGAGTATATGACCTCGAAGTGTGTGTGTCTTAATTACTAGCATCGACCGCGCTAACCGGCTGACCAATGAAATGACGTCAGTCTGCGTGCGGTTGAAAACACGAAGCACTTCTATCTGCCATGAATTGGGACCACGTGAGGGGGCAGCATGGAGGAGGCTAAACTATCCTTCGGATCAAAGACAGAAACGGTGGCAACAAAAGAAAGCTGCACGCGTCTACCAAGGCTATTACCTTGTACTCGAGTTCGTTAAGGAGTACTTTCAACATTATCCCCTTCGTTGTCGCATGTGTGTGTGTGTGGTGGTGTGGTGTGTTTGCAGTCTTGTGTGTGCGAGCAACCTTGAGAACCGGCATTATTTATGGGCCACCAAACCCACGAACCGGTATCATATAAGGGGCATTATACCGGCTTGGAGTTGTGCCAGTAGCTTTCACTGGCAGTATAGTGGGCAACCGGCATTATTCGACCGGTATTACACCGGGCCACCTGCTGTACTACTCTTTTCCGTGTATTTTTTCGTACAACTACAACCATCCAAGGTCACATAGGAGGGGGTAAACGCCGGGGATTTTTCGTTCTATATATCTTATTTTCGTGCCCCACCTTCCTCCTGCGGTGCGTGCTGAACACTTCTCTTTTTATCGCGAGAAGGGTTCAGCCGCCCCTTTCCCTCGTCGGTAATGCCAACGTCCGAGCTTGGTACTCACGAGAGCTATTGAGCATTGATTTTTTCGCGTTCACCGGCAAACTTGTAAGTTCGAACTCACGACTTTGCAACTGGCGGTGTCGAGGTTACCACTAAGAGCGCCGGGGAGACCGGCAGTGAATAGGCTTAAACATGCCATACATAAGCCCAGTATCCAGCCGTTTTCTTCCCAATCCCTGTCAAGAGTTCAACACATCCCTTTCGACTGTGGTTTTGTCTCGAACGGGTAGTCTGCCTGTGAGATGATGTATACTTCCTAAAAACATCCAATGGAAGATCACGGGACAACACTTCATACATCTGTGACAGACACATGAATGTTTCAAACCTAATCGCAAACGAGCGATGACACCGGTCTTACATACATTGAAGGGCCCGACCAATAATCGTTCAACTTTGCCAATATATTTCCAGGAACTTCAGTGCCACACGTTGCGGAAAAAAATCTTGTGCCACCTACGCCAACACCTGTCAAAGGTTACACATTGTTGCCAATTTGTCAAGCATTTTGCCGGTCAAAGAGGTGTGGGCGAAGAGCTTGTTCCTATTTCGTCTTCGCCCAAGTTCCAACCGAGGACCAAACATCATCGGATCTCTAATAGTTGGTAGAGACGCTTGGGGTTTGAACGGGACTATACGAGCGCAAGATCGGCTATCTTTGTCGCGTCGCCGTCCTCCACGGCCGAATACCAAAATTGTGCGGCATCGTCAATTCGCCCTTGTTTTCGAAGGCGATTGCTGGTTTCGGATCGTTCGCAGCTTGGGATCTAGGTTGGAAGTTTGGACACGAACCCTGCTGTAGACTTCCGAATACGGCGATATCCCAATACAACGTGTCAGGCGCACCTGCTGCCTCACCGAGTTAAAAAATACATGCTCGGTGGGAATACGAGTCAGTCGTTCAGACATTTTCCCTCGCGCCAGAAGTAGAGAACTGGCCAAGTATCTATCCCATGGTTTCTGCATGTCCTGCTACATATCCCAAGACAATCGCTGTCTGAGGGTGTGTACGGATGTCTTTATCGGGAGCATAGCCTAGTTCACCATCACCCTGATGACGCCACAACCAAACGCGTACACATCACGCAACACATGCACATCAGAACGCAACATGGCGTGCCACGACAGGAATCATGCTGACATGGTTCCCCTGCAACCGGCGCTTCTCGCCGATGCAAAAGCCCGCAAACCATCGAACGGCGCAACACAACAACGAGATTTCATACGGTGTGTGTGGTGCTAGAAGAGCGGGGCAAGCAACGGAACGATGACTTCTGCACCAATAGAGCTCTTTACTCACCAGGCCTTGTGGAACCCGAACCAGCGTTTCCCTCCATGATGCTCTATGCGTCGATCGTATTCAGACCTTTCTAGCGGGAAAAACAAGAGAAGAGGGGGGGGGAATGTCGAAGGGTATGGTCTTTCGACGCTTAGACTTGATGGCGTGGACGCGACCGGTCAAAGCGGAAAGCACAGGCAGCAAGAACATATAGCCACCATCAAACATCGGGTTTCACAAGCTGGAAGCTGGAAGACTGACCCTAACCTCCACGAAAGGATGAAAAATCTGTACACAGTCAGAATTCTCCAATGCATTCTTGGAATATTCTCCACGCGGTAGCGATGAATGAGGGTTGTCTTCAGTACATGGCAACACTCTCTGTGTTTCGATGCGGGCGGTATTGGAGATCATCGCCAGAGTCACGTGATTAGGGGTCCCCAATCAACACCATCTCGTTTCATTTCCACGCGGCCGCAATTAACCCCTTTAGGTCTATCTACTTTATTTGTTCGGCAAAAAAAAGGGGGGGAAAGTGCAGGGGAGAGAGACAGAAGTACAGCATAAAGAGAACGAGAGTAGTTCTGTAGACGAATAGCTATCTCCATCCACAGGCCATGAAGGCAGCCCACGACAGGACGGTGGGCACAGACAGGGGCATACAAAGGTTAATGCGTGGTCGCGGTGCGGCCGGTAGGGCAGCTTAGGCTTGTAGACCTCGACGTGATCAATCGTCAAGCCGCCTAAACTACTCTAATATCAATGTATCCAAATGATCAGTGAAAAAGATCAGTGACAGGGCTTGTAGACCAATAGCTGGTTCTTGTACTTCTGTACTTCTCTGTCACCTTCCCAATTTGAGCCCTGCCGGCTCACCACTTGTACAGCTCCTGTGATTTCCCACAATTTCCACAAGCACGCAGGCACACACCAGCACACATCTACCTTTCTTTGCATTGGTGGCTCTCTAGGTTGGGGCGAGGGTATGCGTGGGGCTATGACGATAGTGCATGTGTTACTACTGCTGCATGTTGGACTCGTCAATACTGTGGTAAAGCTGCTGACACGATGCTGGATCTTGGGAGTGTACGATTTTCAAATTTGGAGGATATGCAGCCACGATATTCTGGCCTGGATGGGCTTGAAATGCCCCATTTCGCTGTCCTCCTGTCTTGGCTTTAGTGGCTTCTTAGATTCGAGCGAGGGTATGTATGTGGAGCTATTGATGTGTGTCTCTGTGAAAGGATATGAGGTGAGATTCATGGTGGCATTCGCATATGGAGCACATTCTTCGAATTTCGGCCGTTCCAGGGATCTTGATATTACCCGCTGGCACGGCAATGTCTTTTCATTGGTCACCGGGTAGCGCGGTCGATGCGAATAATGAGGGCACACAAGACCTATGGACTTGCCAACACCTGGCGTGGAGGGATACAGGGCGGCAACCCCATGGCATGCCACAACACCAGCATATGCAAATGATCGATCAATCAATGATCTGTCAGGACGCCTGTAGACCCAAGAGTAAAGCTCGATGGAACCTTTACTCCAACAAGTGGCACCTCCACTCAGAGCCACACACAAGTGCGGCAGGACTATGGCAGTCTTCTTCAGATGGTCATATCATCTTCCCCGAGTACCCACTCCTGCACGTTAGGCCCCAGGCACAGCAAGGTAGTTGTTCGCGGGCAATGCTTAACAGCCCACTGTAGTTCTCACGCCCTTTCGGTTCCTGCCAGCGTGCAGCACTGGTACCAAAACCCTCCGGGTCGTCGCACACCCTTCAGAGCTGCCGTAGTCTGCACTTCACAACCAGGGCTACACGAGATAATCCCCCCGGGAGAACATAACACCCAAGAGGTGGTAAGAGTTAACTTGTGAAGACCAAAAAATATCCCGGGGGTGTGTTATCTTGTGTCGTGCCAGTAGATGGTACTGAGTGTGTCCACCAGTACCTTCGCGACGGTTTACTCTTCCCCTCTAGTGTGGAACAAGACAGTGGCATCACCTTCCGCGGCTGATGAAGCCACCCGCGCCCTACCTCACCCAAAAATCATTCCAATACCGATTTGAAGGTTGGTTACCCCTACTGTACAACATAAGAATATACTAGCTGTCGCTGTAAGGAGCGACAGCTGATGAATGTAACTGTCGTCAGACGTGTGCGTCCGCGGGCGGAAACAGAGTGCAAGCACCACACACTTGATACTACCAATGCTGTGCGCCGGTGTGAGAGCTGTGGTACGGTGGTAACGTTTATCTTTCACCAACCGGTTACCCCGCCTCCCGTCCACATCCTGCTTTCGTGGTCATACATAACCCCCGCATACTATTGCTGAACCCCCTGTTGCCTCATTTTTTTGTTCGGTGTTTTCCAACTGCCAGCGAAACAGCAAGACACAAGTCAGTTCTAGTCACGTAGCGCACCAACCGACATGACACCACTTCGAGCGTGTGCTCCATTGCGACATCTCGGGGCGTGACAGTTGTGTTAGGCATAGGTGCTGTGTGTGGGAAGACCTTCGTGGCGGCCTGGAATCCAAGCTGCCTTTTTTTGGCCCGGGCAATCGGGCCGCATCGCCAGGCGAAGAAGCCAAACCGGATTTCACAACTCGCGACGATACTCTAACCACATCCAGCACCCATACCCAACACAACTATCACGCCCAGAGATGCCACAATGGATCACACGCTCGATGTGGTGCGATGGCGATCGGCGTGCTAGGTTTCGAGAACTCATGTGGTGCTGTGCTCACATCGCTGGCAGTTGAACGCAGTGGTAACAAAAATCATGCACTACAGCAATACATAGCCTCATGACACCACAAAGAGTCCAGCGGCATCGAGCCCAGATGCTGTCGCCCGCTGCGCATGTGGGTCGTCTGTTATGCGTACGTTTTCTGCTGTGCGTGTGTTGTCTGCTGTGTGGTGTCGCCCGCAGTGCGTGTGTTCTCTGCTGCAATCCGCCGACAGTGAGCTCCGACAAAAAAAGTGCGGACCCCGACTGTCACCACGCGAACACCTACCACCGTACAAACCAGTGTGGCATCTCAATCGGACGTCGTCCCCCACCTCCTCGTGCGTGAGATATAACCGGTGATTAGCATTGTTTAGTTCCCTCCGTCTAGAGAGCAGCACAGCACAGCAACCAACCGCAACTCAAGCTGAATAAACACCAACGGGTCCACCCACCAGTTGCTTCTTCCAGCTATGAGCAGCTGAGCATCTCGGTCAGAGGCATACAACGAGGATACAAAACCTCAACCCACGGAGCAAGAAATACCTAGACTCGCACCCCGGGAGCTGTCGGACACCACGTGCACGCTAGAAGTTCGAAAACTGTTTAAATCCAGATCCTATCCCACCCTCTAGATCTGACACGTATTGTTTTTCGTCAGGGGTTCATCGAAGCTCGCTTGGACGTGACCACCTAGAGTGAGAGGGCTCTCTCCCGAAAGGCGTATGGCTGCATAGGTGGGGGCAAGAGTTTGCGTGGCTGTTGTGTATTGCGTGTGTTGGACGCGCCGTCAGTTTTGCTGTCGAACAAAACATGCGCGTGGTCTTTCAGCTCTGCCCAGTCGGTGTGTCCGTCTTGTGTCTGCGTGTCGCTTGCTCTGCTTCCCTCTCTCCCCATGTAAGTCGCTCATCTCTCTTCGCGTTGATGTCTCTACACCAGTGCGCACACGAGATATGGCACTTCATCATTTCTGCTGAGAGACCGTTGCGGTTTCTAGATGTCTCACTGAACGGGAAAAACATGGCAACGATTGTCTGACTGTCTGATCACTTTTCATCTGATCACGTTCAGTCGGAAGACCTGAACTACGCAATCTTTTGTCCCGAACCCCCGAGGCACGATAAATCACCCCATCGGTCGTCCCGTAGTATTTCAGATGCCCTCAGCGGGGTTGAGCTTGAAAAGAGTTCAGCCCATCCCCTTCGGTTGTGGTTGTGACTCGAACGGGTAGTCTTTCTTTCGCTGTGTGCAATGTATCCTGTAGTAATTTCTAGGCACACCTTGGCCAGGATCACGGTTTGGCGACCAGATCCTGTCCCCATACACGTACGACAGGTGCTTGTCTCTAGAACTTCTAGTCGCGTACAAGGCACGCCCCCGGAGTGGGCTCATCAGAACATTGTGTTGTAGTGTCATCAAGGCGGGATGCAAGATGAGAGTAAAGCAGGTGTTATTGTGGATCAGCTGCCAGCTGCAGTCAGTCACATTTCCCCCGAGCTCGAACAGCTCACACAAGCTCAGGTGGTTTGGACGCGAAGAACCCACCGCACCTCACCGAAGCGAAGCTTAAAAAATTCAAAAATGTTACATCTGTGTGCAGTCTTATCTCACACCCTTGTCTCTCCAAATGTCTTGGGATACAACAGTTATTGTCCGCCAACCTACGGCAAGTATCCGCGAGTGAAACATCGCGCCTATTTTTCTCGAAAAACTTGCCGGATAAAAGAAACAAGTGGAAGCGGCAGAAACCTCAGAGGATCTCCGCAACCCAAGGCGATGGAGTCGGGCGCTCGCTTTAGGCAATTATTGGCGCCAAAACAATTCGAAGTAAAAACACTTCGATAGCAAGCAGGCCCCACCATTGCAACTTGATACACAGCACCGCATCGGCAGGCGTGAAGGCGATATACAAAGATCTACACGGCGGAGATCAACATGTGCAACACGTACCGTGGGGGCTTGCTGCGAGATAGCGAGACGCGAGAACTAAGAGGGGAAACCAAACAGCACGAGTGCTGCAGACTGCTGCTGTAGAAGCGCGGCAAACCTCTGGAGGCAGATCTCACCTGTCCCGATTGTCCCACAGCCTCTCTCCCAGTCTTGTTCTCTCTCCGTTTCCCGCCCTCGTCTTCACCGAGTGGGAGCAGTGAGTGGTGCGGTGTTCTGTGTTGTGGCGGTGGTTGTGCGGTGATCGTGTAGGGGGGCCGAAAACCGCCTCAAGCGGCGCGGGGTATCGAGAGTAGTGGGGTTTGTAAACGGCAACCGCTATTTGCACGACCGTCGTGCAAATAAAATCTGCACGACTCCAAACGCCTCCAGAACCACACACCCACAAACCCAATTTGAATCTCACAAAACACGACACAACACCACAACACAACACAGCAACAACACAGCAACATCACCACGCAAGCGCCGTATGTCTCTCCATCTACTCCTACAAGAGTGCGGAGGAGATGACGATGGCGCCGGTAGTGATATGGACGTGTGTATAGAGAACGATGGCCCTCCCGCTCCCCCTGCCAGCAGCAGCAGTCCTCCTCTCGCGGGCAGCACGTCCTCCTCCCTGGGCTCCTCAATGCCCCAAGAGTACCAAGCACAAGGGGCCGGTGACGACCCCGATCAGCCTGTAGATGTTGCGTTCCAAGCACAAGGGGCCGGTGAAGACCCCGATCAGCCTGTAGATGTTGCGTTAGACTCTAGCCCTCACAGTCCGAGCGCGGACGTTGCTGATGGCGATGGCGCGAGACCACTTTGTGAAGCAGCGGAAGCACACCCAGCACTACAAGAACGAGAGACGCCGCAAACACCAACGAGCGCCGCGGGAGGCGCAGGTGGCGAAGGTCCTGAGGCCACACCAACGGTGAGTTTGCCGTCCGTAGTCTGTGCCTTCCATGGTTGCACAAAATGTAGGTTTGTCAAACAAAGCCGACACTGCTGTCTATGTATATTGTACGATATATACACATGTCATGCGTCCAGCCTGTGAGAAGTCGTTCCAGAGGTTGGAACTGCTGTCGTAGACACACTTTGTAGCCCTTCCTCTCCGTTCGTCACTACAGACAATGCAGAGGTATATGAGTCCGCAATCCGTAGGTTGATTGATTATGGGTGGGTATCGGGTATGTTGTCTTCCGTGTATAAAAACGTTGGAGTTTATGAGGGTATGGTATCCTCGGTGTACATTTGACTCGTCTGCTTTTGGGCCTGTGATGGTCTAGGTGCTGTCCACCGAACAGGGCACTGCTGTCGCCCAAATAAACGCGACAGCTATAGCTATAGACTGTCGTGCTACCGCGGTGTGCTTGCTGGCTACTCCTTGTGCCGCGGTGTGCTTTACCCGCGATGTTAAAAACGTGCTGGTCCACGCCCTCCGGCCGCATCCGCCCCATATGATATACGTGAAGTTCACCATGTATTATACTCCGTACGTAATAGCAGTCGGCTTAAACAGTCGGCTTAAACTGACGGCTGACGGCGGAACAAATGCGTTGAATACTGCTGTCGGTTGGCTACGCTGCGTGTGATTTCAGGCTGGCAGTCCTGAGTATAGTGCCGATGCAATGGCAGCAAGGCTTGCCTCCATTCCTCTCGAGGGGCAGAGCATCGAGGGCGTGGAGGCCGCAGTGGTGGGAGCGTTCCTGGAGTTCGGGGTAGAGATGAAACGGTGCGACTCAAAAAAAAGCAGCAAGGAGCCTGGAGCGCGTCTGAGGTTGATTGGACTAGCGTGCAAGCACGCCATGAAGAATCGGCAGAAGGAGTACAGAGAGGGAGATGGAGGTGAGGATCCCGACACGTGGGCGCTGCCCTCATGCAGGTGTTGTGCTAGGTTGAGCCGGTCGGGAATGACAGTCGCGAATCATAGTCGCGAATGATAGCTGCGAAGGAAAGGCTTCTCTCACGCAGGTGCCGCGGAAGAGGCCTGAGGCCTACAGGGTAGGGTAATTTTTCGTCCGCGGCACGCACGGCGCGTCGGTGATCCGTTTGTGATTTAACGGTGGACAGATTGTGAATTGCGGTGGTCGCTGATGTGAATGAAACTAGGGATGAGTTGTCGAAAGCGAAAGCGGAAACAGCCTACAAAAGATGGCATAATCTTGTTCTGCCTCGACGCTTGTGTGTTTTGCGCTGCGCGTACCACGTCGCGTGTGCATCTTCAGCTAACAGCGGCAAGCGGCGGAAGTCAAACAGCAGGAGGACAAACTGCGCCGTGAAGGTGAGTGAAGGGTTGTTGTTGCAAGGCATGCGCGTGTGGGTTATTGGTCTGTGTTGTGCGCGTGGGCTGTTCGTGCGCGGGTGCGCAACCTCTGTACCACGTGAGAAGTAGGACATCCAATGTGGCCCATGGTCCTATATCGTGGTAGAGACGGCGGTTCGTGTTGGACGTTTGGGTTCGATGGAGGAACTGGAAGGTATCATTGTTTTACGTCTGGTGGGTGTTTTCTTGCTGCAAATGCCAGGGGTACATCCGGTGGCCCGTTAACGTGGGGAACAAGCACCCTGACCCTATCCTGAGCTTCAAGGAGTTGAACCACAACCACCCGGTGAACAAGGGCGTTGTTGACGAAGTTCGTCGGCAGACGAAGCCTTTGGACACCCCGACGAAGGACGCGTGTGTAAAGCTCACAGGCAAGTGTTGAGGAAGGATGTGTGTGATATGTTCTTTGCTTTGTAGGCACACATGGAAGTATGCGGTACCGTTGGTGTTGTGCATCGCTGTCTGGAGCACACCCTACACTCTTCCTCCTCATCACTGACCGTGCGATTGTTGTTTTGTAACAGACGCGGGCTTCAAGCCGGCGGTTCAAGGCAAGATGATCCAAGCCCTTACTGGTGAACGCCCGAACGCCCGAGCCATCCAGGACCGCCGGCTCCTTTATGTGGACATGGTGAAGAGGACCAATGCGGCCGTGAGCGCTGGGGTGGAGCTGGTTCCTCCTGACACTCTGCGTGCCATCGTAGAGACTTTCGAGAGTAGCCTGAACGCCGCGGCGAGGATCTCTTCGGGTCAGGGGGTTGTGCTTGGCAACCCACAAGCTGTGCGCCAACCAGCCAAGAGAAGTCAAGGTGCTAGAGCAAAATCTAGCCTTGAATACGGCGGGGCAAGGGCTAGGAGACGCGCGCAAGCCCCCACTTGAGAAATTTGTTGAGCTGGCCGAGTTCCTGTTCAGGCGTGGCCGAGTAGGGCCACGAGTTAAGTTGAACGGAGTTGGGTGACAGCGTGCTGTCCCTGTTTTGCGTTTGTGTTTGTCGACCCCGCGCTGTGCATCCAAGGTCATGGATGGGCACAATGCATCATTGGGTGGATGATGGGTGTTTCAACGTTCTCAAGCGGTGTCGGCGTGAATTGATGGTGTTTTTCTACCGAGTACGAGTTGAAAGTGAGCACTTCGAAAGTACGTAGTTTAGCAACGTCATTTTGCATTTCGACTGATTGGTGTTGTGCTCGAGGGCACGTCCGCCGCACATCGCAAGCGACCATGGAGAGAATTGAGAGAACCACGGCTGGAAGACATTTCCTCCAAGAGCAATCTCCTTCACGGTCCTCCAAATAGAAAGTAACTTGAAATATCAATATCATCCCTCAAAACATCTAACCCCGAGCATGGATTGACATGCGCGCGTCTCTACTGCCCCATCCGCTCTACCCTCAACAATCACAACGCAACACCACAACGCAACCGGTTTCCAAACTAAAAATACCAACGCAACCGGTTTCCAAACTAAAAATACCTTCATACCTACCCCCACTTTACTTTAAGGTCGAGATTTAATGCCACTCGCAACGCGGAAGATCACGAAGATACCGTCCCATGAGGTCATCCCCCTCCACATCACACGGGGCTGCCTGTTCAACTTGGACCTGGCATGCGAAACCCCTCCCCACCAACGCCGCGATGACATTCGAACGTCCCTCCTTGGCAGCGGATTCCATCCACCTCTCACTGTAATTCCATCCGTTATCGAGGCACCACAACACTAAATCGACATGCCCGGCGCCAGCGGCGTCGGCGGGTACACGCGACCAGCCGTTAGGCGAAGCGCAATACAGGCACAAGTCACGGGAGACCAAGGGACAGTTCGTTCTGCACCACTGCAACATTTGCAAATGTCCGAGTCTGGCTACCATGAACAGGACGCCGTCCGGGACAAGTTGCTGCCCGCCCGTTACGTCCAGCCCGTGCAGCCCGTGATTTTCGTCGTCTGTCCACCACCAAGTCAACAACTGGGCCACCGTGCGAAAACTGCCATATGAAGCCGCAGTCCAGAACGTGCTCCAGAACAAACCTTCAAAACGCCCATCGCTACACATGATCATTTCCTCCAGACATCGTAGCATCTTCAGGTCGTTATCTTTGGCATAGCGCAAAATTTCAACTTGCATCCATCCCCCGGTTTCTCCGGCAGCCAGCGAAAATCTCGACAGAGACCGTACCATTCCAAAATCTCTGCCGGCCATCGCCTCTGGAAGAGGAGAGGTTACTATAGCCTCGGCCACCGCCCACCCTTCGTCAACCCAGAACCCATCTTCGCCTCGACCTAGGTCAGAGCTGTCGCAGCAGTCTAGAATGGCTGCACTACCTGACTCTACGGCGACTTCTAAGGCCTTCAATTCCATCTGATCTGTATTGCAGCCTGCCGCGATCAACAACTTCATAACGTCAGTGTGCCCTGCCTCCGCAGCAGCTGCGAACACTCGATCGCCCCACTCACCCCACTCGAGGTCACATGCGTCATTGGACCAATCCAACAACAGATTCAGTACTTGGACATTCCCCAGAGCTGCGACAACTTTCCATGCTCCGTTGCTCGGCTCCCAACCGCAGTGTAATGCCTCCATGGCGCGAGGAACCGACGCCACGATATGGGATTCCGCGGTGTTCCGTGGTTTCCCTTCAAACAACACCGTTCGCCACGACTTTGAAACCATCCCTACAAACAAATACGGCTGCGGTCGACCGCCCGTAAAGGCAAATATCTCCGCACGCACATCCTCTTTGTACAACAGCAGTTCCAGTACGGCATCCTGACGGGTCCACCACTGCTGTTGCAGCAGAAAAATTAACAGGTCCAACAAGATGGATGAAGCACGGCAGGCAGGCGGGTCGTGTGGATGATTTGGCCATGTTAATTGCACATCCAACAGGTTTTGACAGAGGAACGACAATACGCAGAGTTAATCTTTGCGACACGAACGGGTAGCAGGACCTTCAAGAAGGAACCTATTTATTGAAATCTACATACTGCTGTAGCTGATCGTACTCATAGTCTATATCCATACCAGTAGTTCGTGAATATATTCGAAATCTCGATACTGCTGTAGATAGACTAGTCTACACATATAGTCTTATATCCAGACAGTAGTTCGTGAAGAAGGCATGATCCAAACGTCCAAGGTAATCTTACAGGACACATATTTCAACGTTCGTATCCTCACCGTTTCCTCTGCAACATCTCCTGGTGCGGTCTGTCCTGGTGCGGTCTGTCCTAGTGCGGTCTCGCGAGCGATGCTCTCCTGGTGCGGTCTGCCGTTGGTGCTTCCGTTCGCTCGAACACTGTCGGCGCTGCTACTCATGTCGGCGCTGCTACTCTCCGAATGCATACCGTCATCTCCTCCGCACTCTTGTAGGAGTAGATGGAGAGACATACGGCGCTTGCGTGGTGATGTTGCTGTGTTGTTTGCTGTGTTGTGTTGTGGTGTTGTGTCGTGTTTTGTGAGATTCAAATTGGGTTTGTGGGTGTGTGGTTCTGGAGGCGTTTGGAGTCGTGCAGGTTTTATTTGCACGACGGTCGTGCAAATAGCGGTTGCCGTTTGTAAACACACGTGCGGATGAACTCCTGCCGTTCCACGTTCCACAGTTCCACCGCAGTTGACAGCCAGCCGTGGTTGCCAAGGTGGTTGGTGAGTTCGTCCTTTCAGCGTTCAGTTCAGCGGCTTGCAGGCTCGCGGGCTCACGGAACGAAACAGACGCACCATCCTGATGCGTCATACCATTATCCCCGTGACGGGGGCGTATGCCTGCTGCTGTCGGATTCGACACTGGTGCAAACACGAAATGATTTCGTACCTCCGTAGAAACATATAGACTATATAGTCTAGTCTAGGCTATGCTCCGTGCTCTCGCAGTCCTTGTAGGGTATGACATGAGTCACGGTGAACCATTTGCTTGACAATTATTTTGTATCCTTCTTGGCCTAGCGGAAAGATCGAGAAGAAGGGGCGAAATAGGATCCGAGCACGTGGTGCACATGTGGTGCACATGTGCGACGAAGCATGAGCGCTATAGTTTTTGTCGACTATTGGAATCTGCGGCACGGACGAAAAGAACACACAGCTACAGCAGTAGTAGCTCATCATGTGTCCCCCCCCTCGTCGCCCTCCGTCTCGGTGTCCTTCTTGCTGTCTATATCTCCGGTTGGGGCAGGTAGAAGATCCTGCTCCGAGTGCTGACTTGGGTTCAGAAGCAAAAATCGATTCAGCGTTCACCTACTGGGCAGGACAGGGACCCTGATTGACCACACAGGACAAGTGCCCGAATCTTCATTCACCAGAGAGAGTTTCGGTCTCGTCTTGCGGGGCACGTTCAAAAAGTGCCAATCAATGCCGCCACACTATTCTAGACGAAGTGCATAAACATACTTTTTAGCGGTAATCGCTGTTGCTGCCTTCGCATTGGAAAACTAACTGTTATGGATTCTTCCGGCTTCCGTACGGGTTCAGCTGCCGCCGACAAATTTCGCGGATATTCCAGGCCAACGGTCCGAGACGGTCCAAACCACGAAAATCGAAGTGAAACGTGAAACGCAGATAAGTCAACAGCACTTCCCATCGCGACAAATAATAGACGTCCCACGGATTGCACAATGAGGTACTTCTACTAGAGAGTAGCCCCAGAAGGCGCGAGCCATCGTTGTCCAGCATCGTTCCAGTAACTTGTCGACGGTACAGTCCTCGCCGCCTGGCCCCCGCACGCCACCACGTGCGTTCTAGAATCTGGTCGAAACATTTGAGGGGTGTTTGTGAGGTGGTGAGCCATAACGAGCGCTGCCCGCAAGTGGAACAGCTGGCCACGACACATGCTATCCTGCTGCGCCCTCTTCATGTCGTGTGGCGTAATTTTCTTGCCATACCCTTGGGAAATGCAGCGGGGATGATCTGGAAGATCTGGATGGAGACAAGCCTGGGAATGAGGTCTTCCTGGGCTCGGAAGAGAGCGGAGTGGACCGAGAAGTGCGTGCCGTGGCTGGTGGTAATGCCCATGGGAAACCCCATATTCGCCAAAACCCGGATGGGTGAAGCGGCATAGGCCCTGAAAAATGTCTACACGTGCACGACATTCATATTTGGGAGGTTTTTTTTTTGGGGGGGAGGGTACAAAGTGACCACCCCCGAACGTCATACTATTATAACAGACCGTACCAGTTTCTGTATGTGTGAAGGGGCACCGTGTCTGCGTAAGGCGTGCCCCTAGCCGTGTGCGCTTGTTCTTGCTCGCCGCCCGTGTACGCTGTACGGCGTTCCACACCTACCGTAGACGGCGAGAGGGAGAGCATGATCAGCGCACCCTCAGGGGGTGTCATAGGCCTAGCCCACGCTGTCGCGGCGCACGACGTAGCCAAGATTGTTTTCGGCGCGCATTAAAAGTATGTACTTCGCAGTAATGAACTCGGAGTCCAGCGAAGCAATGGAGAAGGAGGCAGTGTGAAGAAGAGGAAAGGAGGGAGGGGCATGCAGGGGTCGGGGTAGGGCGGAGAAGACGAAGAGGAAGGAGAAGAAGAGGTGGAGGACGAGGGAGAGAAGGAGGAGGAGAAGAGACACACGGAAGAAGGGGAGCCGGACTTGCGCTCGACGGGGCGGCGTCAACTCACCCCGAACCGGCGCCTGTTGTGATCGGCGTAGTTTTGTGAGCGAGAATGTCGGAAAGTGGTAGGCGGACCAGGAGGCCAACGGAGCACTCCCAGCTGTCGTGCAAGCTCCTACGTGATGACAACCGTACCGCGGTTTCCATGGAGCTTTGTGTGTCGTTCTTCCTTCACGCGTGTAGAGGCGTGATGCCATTCCAGGCTTTTCAACGAAGTCGACGAAATTGGTTCGTCGACGCGGTGTGGATGATGTGCGGTTAATCCAACAATAACACGTTAAATGCGCACGCAGCGATGGTAGCCGCATTGTAGTGCCACATTGCTCTTCGTATCTGTGTTGTACGATAGGTTAAGTAGGTTTGGCTTGTACTATTGAACGCATACGATGAATAAAAATGACACAAAACATGGGAAAAAGAAAAAAAAAAACTGGCACTGGGCCCCCTCGGAGGGGACGGGGGGGGGGCTACGTGTGCGGGACAACGTTTTCGCACACACTTGCTCCCTCAATCATGTAGACCAACATAAGGGTTGCGCTGAAAACCAAAAAGCAGCTGCTCACACAGTCAGTGCACCCCGCTTAGCAGAAAACCCTTTCAGAAATATCGTCAACGCTGAAGCAACCGCATCTGTTTTGATAACATCGGGAACAAGACTTCCGTATTGTTTCGTGTTGGCAACCGACGTGTGTCGCTCCCTCTCCGCACGAGACGCCAAGTTAACTAGAAATGTAGTGGCTTAATTGTGAATCACAGGTCACCGATCGAGGCCAAGCAACTGCATTGTAGAAGAGCCGTCTTCATCTACCTTTCTACCCCTCCATAACAGCAACAACAAGATTGACACTACACACCGGATGTATCAAACGATTCCGCAAAAGCTTTTATAGTAGCGGTTGCGAAATGCAGTAGATTCCGACCCTGACCTTTGCCAAATGAATGCACCTCAAAAAAACTTCAAACCCGCAACAGCCACGTCAAGGTCACCACATCGAACAAGTAACTTGGTGTGTCATCTTCGCGTCATGGACCGATGTAAGAAGGGGACAGTCGTGAAACACTAATGTTTGGCGCAAGTTCCAATTCCCCAGCTTGGCATGGTATGCACACCACTCCCTATACCCCGAACAGAACCTCCCTATCGATATGACTCCCTCGCAAGCACCGACAGAGCTTCGTAAATCGTGTGACTGCAAAATCGCTTCAACCGAAAGTCTACGTCCGGGGCATACCTAACCATTTTGGGGTATCCTTTTAAAGGTGCAAGCCTCTACAGTTGAAGGAATTACGACCCCGGCTAAGCTCGAGAGTCTACACACGGCAAGCTGACGAAGGCCCTTAGGCCATTCGATTCCGCGGAGAAAGCTATCTTCGGTACCTGAATCATGTATATGATGAAGAAGATGAAATGTCTCAAGGTTGGGCATCCATGTCCCCAGTTCTTGCAGTGACTGCCTGAAATTCTGACCTAGCGTAAGTCGGTGCATCGCCTTAGGCCAAGCGCTCGCGCCGATAGGCCGATTGAACTTCGATGTAACCACCACATCACCTAAAACTTCCTGGCGCACTCCAAAACAAACTTCTGCCAAGGATGCCGGCCACTTCACGTTATCAACTGGCCGGTTGAAAACACATCCGAGGTCGAGCCTGTTAAGCGAAGCTGGCCATGTAACGTCCTCCATGGGCTGCCTGAAAAATGCGCCAAAAGAAAGCTCCTCGAGCGACGCCGGAAAGGTACACCATTCAATCGGCTGGTTGAGAAAAAGACCAAACGTGAGTTGCTCCAGGGTGTCCGGCCACACGACGCCGGCGATAGGCTGGTCGAAAAGAGACTTGTCGTGAAATTTAGCTACCTCAGCGATTCCCGAAACCTGGCTCGTTCGATCGGCTGGTCGAACTCCAATCCAAACGATAGCAGCTGCAGCGATGCAGGTAACTCGACACTTTCGATCGGCTGGTTAAACTTGCTTCCAAATACAAGCCTATGCAGAGATGCTGGCCATTTCCTCAGGCCGACGAGCTAGTTGAATGGTGAATTTTTCGAGACCTCAACCGTTTTCAGCCGTCGTGGCCATGCCACAGCCTCAAGGCTGTCTTCAAAAGCACGGACGAATTCCAGGGAGTCCGCGTCCATCATTGAATATATCGAGTTTCTCAATCCTGCTGCTGTCGGGATGTCCCAGGTCACGCGGCGCGCTCTTAGTCGTGGCACGCGCGTTCCACACAGTCGCTTCGGGTGCGGGGGTGGGGCATCCGCAGCGGCAAGCAGCCTGCGTGGGGTTCTTGAGTCGACTTTCAAGTCCAACGTCTGATGGTTTCTGCAGGCGATGCAGAACTCCAAGGATGCCAACTGTCGTTCCTTGGTGGAAGTGTACCAACTCTTCCCGTCGCTCGTCTCATTCAGAGCAACGATGATGGCGTTCAAGCACGAGTCACGAGCTGGTCCTGAGGAAGAAAACATGGTGCATGGGCGTACGCACAAGCGAGGGCAAAAACATGGCGCCCTTCAACAACTGTTTGTGCGTGGCAGTAGAATCTGCACGTGTTCCAGGGCCATGCCATGACTAGAGTAAGGTATGGGATTTTGCTGACACTCTAGAGATCGAAATTTCATAAAAGTAGAACCGTGAAAACAGTCAACGAAGTCATGAACATGTTTCCTACGTTCCGATATCAAGAGTCAGTCAATCTTGTTCTTGAACGCCTCAAGCACAAAACACGATGGCCGGGCGAGACATGATCGACTTGGCTGGCGCACAAGCCGTGTAAACGAAGCCTCCCCTTGGATTCAAATTGCTTTTGCCCCAGACGGCCGTTGCGTCCTGGCCCACTCGAGTGACAATAAGACTCAAAAAAGACTCAACAAACGGATAAAACATGACCAATTGTGGAGGCTAAAATTCCACGCACAGTGGGCGGTACAAAACTACCTTACGGACCTTGTGGAACCTTCTCTCTCTCGTTTTGATCGACGATTGAAAAGATGGTGGAAAATGGACGCCCTGCCCGTTGCTGGCTACGCCACTGCCAGGCACCCCCTCAACCCGATGAGATTGCAGGGAAGTAGGAAACTTCAAACGGCGAAAAGGAACCCACCATGCACAGTCGGCGGCGAAAGAAGGGGAGAACAACCCGGAGCAGAAAAGCCCAACCCTCCCTCTCCAGCAAAAAGGGACGCAGTCTCTGAGAATCGACAGAGCCAGCTCCGGCTTTGAACTGGACCAAAGCAGCACGAGCTCGGCTAGCTTGGCCGCGTCGCCACTCGCCACGGCCGAACCCCATTTATCTGCAGAGTCGTCAATTTGCCGGTGATTACAAAAGGTTGGTGATTTCGGGTCATCGTTTTGGAAGGCTCGAATCCCATTGGTATGAGCGAGAAAAAAAATGGAAGTACATGGAGGACCTTACCACAATAGACAATGTCGCTCGTTCTTTGCTCACCAGGCCTTGCAGAACCCAAACCGGTGTCCCCGTCCATGACGTTGTTTGTGTCGCTCGTACTCAGACCTTGCCAAAGCGGACCAACACGAAACGAGGAGTGCATGCACATCGGAGGTGTAGGGGTTTCGCCGGTGAGACGCGATGAAGTGGTCCCGACATGTCACAAAGGACAATGCGCAGACAGTACATCAATGACGGTCGCCATCAACGACGTCAGAGAATCACAAACCCTTTCAGTCTCGCAAGTTGAAATATTGCACACTGATACGAAGAATCAGGCATTAAACAACCTAATGCAATATAATCCCCAACGTCTTGACAAAAATATTCCAACCTGGGTGGCATTCCCGCTGGTCCACAATGGCGGCAAGTAGTACGGGCAGCCGTTGGGTCGGAGGCGTCAAAAACGGCAAACAGCACCGTCGAAAATTTCACAAGACGATAGTTACGCGGTCGCTGAAGCCAAGTCAGCACATGTTTCCAGTATAACAAGAATTCGGACTGGGGCTCCGAATTTTTCCATGTAAGGAAGCAGATTTGAGATGTATTAAACGGCTTCACGTGATTGATCGAGGGGCAACAGTTCTTCTATCCCACCCAACGAACTTCCGTTGTCCGCAGGTACTTTTTTTTGTGGTGCGCTGCGTGACAGCTGCATCCTGCTGCTGACACCGCTCCCACTGCTGTTGAGTGTGCGTGCATGCAATGCGTGTCTGTGTCTGTGTCGCTCGTTCAACCCCAGCGCACGAAATCGCACCTAAGAACGGAGGCAGGAAGCAATTGTACTGGCCGGCAGCCTCTGACCGAAGTGCTGTGTCGCACTTCAAGCGTTCGGGAGAGGAGAGAAGTTTTTGGGACGGGGAGGCAGGCACGTCAAGTCAAGCTCTCTCTCTACGCTAACAGAGAACTAGAGAATAATCTTGCGCGGGGAAGGACGCGCCCGTCTACACCAGGAGGCCATTGCATGCTATTCCTCCTGTCTGCTCCTCGTTGCTGGCGGTGCTGCCGCTACCTCAACCTGTGTGGGTGTGACGGGCGTGTTTTGCTGATCTAAAGCCGCGCAAACGAACCCAACTTTGCTTTCTGGCCGTGCAGCCTCCCTCATATTGGTGGCGCGCCAACTCCAGGGCCTGTTCGGTTGGGCGCTGGCCTTCTCTTTGACCTCGCGAACTGCTGTGTGCGCGTGTGGGTGGTGCCTGATGTACTTGTTCCAAAAATGTTGCTAAATCGAAAAATCATCAGCACGCTCCCCAAAAACGAGCCTCCCTCCGCTCTTAATCTGGAGAACTTTTTCCTTATCTATGGCGAGCCTGTCAGGAAGGATCCTCGGAACGATGATGTAAATAAAGTTACACCATCAGACCAGTCAGCGCTGACTTTGTAGTCTAATGGGGTAAGCCAAAAGATACACTCTCGTAAAAGCACCCAGAGTACCATTTCAACTCTCCCAGGTTCTTCACTGGCACGGACTTGTTAAGGTCGGCGCCAAACTTGTCACATCTCTCCCTCTCTCCCACAGCAAAATGTCATCTACATGTACTACCAAAACCAAAACAACACATCCATTCTCAATCAAACGAAACACACAAGCATCGGCCATGCACTGCTTAAACCTAACGCCACCAATCACCTCTTCAGCATTTTATGCCACTGCCTAGATGCCTGTCTCAAGCCATACAGACTCTTGCCTAGTTTTCCAATANACATCCATTCTCAATCAAACGAAACACACAAGCATCGGCCATGCACTGCTTAAACCTAACGCCACCAATCACCTCTTCAGCATTTTATGCCACTGCCTAGATGCCTGTCTCAAGCCATACAGACTCTTGCCTAGTTTTCCAATAATTCCAGATAGAGCTCCACATCCCTGCGGCAAACGCATGTACACGTCTTCCTCCAACTCCGAAAAGCTTGCTCAATATCGAAATGACACAAGTCGAGGTTCAACTCGCACGCCAAAGCAGCCAACATCCTAAAACACGAACCAGAAACGGTAGGCGCGTACAACTCTCCAACGTCAATGTACTCTCTCTGCATATCACCTCTCGCTACAAGTCTCGACGTAACCTTAGTGGGCCATCCAAACTCATCTGCTTTCCAATCGAATACCCACTTAGCGTTACTTGCGTTCTTCACTAATTGCTACTTCGCCGGAGTAAGAGTCCCCGCTTCCAACAAGCCATCAAACTCCCTTTGCATAGAGTCGCTCTCAAATGCGAGTGGAAAGCCCGCTCCTCCAGCCCCCGGGTCCACAGCTGCGAGTGCTCCCGCCTGCCCTCCAGTCCCTGCTCCCCCCGGCTCTCCGGCCTCCGCCCCCCCCAGCTCCCTGCGCTCCTTATCCACCGCGCTCCGAGCCTCCAGCATCGACACCAGAGTGTTCCTGTCTAGCATCGAGATGAGTCCTGTGCTGTGCCTCGTGCCCGATCTCGTACGGCTTGGCAGCCGCGGGTCTGTCATACCCTCGGCCTTTGTACCCGGGCGAAGCTGCCGCATGGCGTGAGCCGTAAGCGGGGGCATCGCGGGGTCCGGCGGCGGCGGCGGCTGGTCTGGATCAGGGGTCGCCGACGGTGACAGCGAAGTGGCAGAGGACGGCTGGCCAGGAGCGGGGTTCGCCAACGGTGACGGCGAAGTGGCAGAGGGCGGGTGTGAAGGCGTGGGCGCGGGCGGCGGCGTGGTCGCTGGCGGCGGCGTTTCGGCAGGGGGCGAATCGGCAGCGGGAGCGGGAGCGGGCGAAGGCGTTGGCGCTGGCTGCGGCAGTGCTGCGGTCGAAGGCGTCGGTGCTGGGCCAAAGTTGATCGAGACGACCGGCGGCGTGAACGGGGGGGGTGTCGGCGCAGCGGTGATACCAGCGGAACCCCCCTCGCCGGCTGGCGCCGACGTCACCCACGACACGTTGTTAGTGTAGACGACGCGGCCGGTGGAAGCCTTGAGGACCTTGACAGTGCCGCTCGGGTGGTTGTCGCCGCCGTTTAGGTAGTAGCAGAGGGTGGCCTGGTCGTCGAGCTTGGTGCGGCGATCCTCGCGCATGAAGCCGGGCTGGAAGAACGGCAGCA